GTTTTTTTACAAGACACATCTCCTACATTCAGCAATCACAACAGCATTTTTGCAAAAATGTTTTGCTCTTTATTCTGCAAACCTTAAGAAAGCAAAAAGCTTATTCTAGAACTCTTAAAAAACCCTCAGTGTTTAAAATGATCATTCTGACTGTCACAGGAACATTTCATAAACTGGCATAATTTGCTTTATTTAATAGTGTCAGAGTTAGAGTAGAGTGGATTTATATCATTGCAGTAATTTATGTTAGCTTCTATTTGATAAAGAAGCAATCAAAAAATAAAATAAGTTCCATTGTAATTTTCACTTAGAAGGTTTAAAGGACCTTTTATCAATGTCAGATGTGAAAAACTTCAGATTGTCCTGTAATCTAGGCCCCTGAGACAGATGAATTTGACTTTTTTAAATATGTAGTATTTGGTGTACTCCATTTTCATGGCTAGTCTGAGTCATTGTAATGGATACTTATTTTATTACTTAACTTTAAACTGACATAAATCACACATATCACCTGAAGGGCAACAAACCATTTGATGCCTAATTTGTGAACTGATAATATGTGTGATCAAAATCAGAAAATACTACTCCTTAATTAAATAAAATCAGTTTATATTGGGCTGCTTCTGTCTTATGGAAAATGCTACTCCATATAATTGAACCAATTTTAATTAATATAGATAGTTTATTAAACCTAACCTCTCAAGGTTACTTTAATGATCAACTGAGACAAACTGCAATAAAAGTGGAATTCATTTGTGCAGATGTGCTGTTTTCGTCCCACAGAATGCAATGGCAGTGGGCTGAACAACCAAAGTGGTGAGTCATTTACTTTAGTTAATTTAACAAGCAGGGTTGCTGGAAAAGTTATTTCATATTGGTGGTTCACTTGTGTTATCAAAGGCAGCCGTCAGCTGAAGGAAGGAATGGGGCTATTTGAAAATGGAAAGCCAGCAAGTAACAGGGCCAGTATGAAGCATCTAAACAAAGGTGGATTGTGACTCTCTCAGAGTCTCCATCCTTTTTTCGTTTGGTTTGGTTTTTTGTTGTTGTTGTTTTTAAAATCACTATCACTCTGATTACTGAAGGAAACTTGCTAGGAAGATGCTACTAAACATAACAACCCTCATCTAATGGTGGAAAACCTCCACTATATTCAGCAGTTTACAGATGATTTCCCAAAGGTAAGAACAATGATCTCAGAGTTTGACCTCTTAACCTAGATTCAGTATCCATGGAATCCCTAACAAGTTTAGAACTCTGCTAGAAACAGCAGCAAGAGTAACAGTTACTGAAAAAAAGACTACTTATCTGTTATCTGCTAAAATCCAGGACATCCTGCTCTTCTGCTACCTACAACCTTATTCACTACAAGGTGATGACAAATTTGGAAGATGATAGGAAAAACGTCACAATTATCTTCCTGCCAAGCCTAAAATCAGTAAAACACTATTCCTATTGTTGCAGTCTTTGTCAATACGTAAAGTAAAATTCCAGAACACACAGAAAAAAATTAGGACCAGGATGGATGAACTTAGTGTGGGAGAATTTATAATTTCTTTTATGACTTGAAAATGTATTCTGATACAAGGAAATTAAATAAATGTGCATGAATTTCAGCCATTTATTACTCCGTGTGTGCCTGAATGGAAATACACACTAATACCTGGATTGAATGTGTGTGAGTACAATCAATCAATAGGTTGGATGACAAACTCCAGCTGTGCTGTGCATTAGACACACTGCAACAAATAATAGACTCAGAGGAAAAGGGCATAGACCAGTGTCTCTCTACCTGCTTTACCTATGTATTTCCAGCATCCCTGCAGCCAAAGTAACCAAGAGCTTCTCTGCAGAAGCCCAACAGTTGTTAGCTTAGCTGTCAAGAGAAATGGGAGTAATCTGTGGTTCTCCTCTCCAAAAGGCTTTCGAGCAGGAGTGCTACATGACAGTTCATGATAGAAAGGAGACAGATGAGGAGTTTCTCTTTCCTGAACTGTGTACCAAAAACCAAAAAAAAACCTTGAAACTGAAGATCAAAATATTCTGGACTGATAAAAGTTAAAACTTCTTCACCCAATACATAATTAGGCTGGGAAGCTCACTTTCAAGTGAGAGGAGTAGTGTTTAAAGGGGTCTGTCCTTTTCTGTAAATAACAAGAATATATGTAGTTATAAAAAGTTAATGTCAACAAGGAGCGTGAAGTGTCATGTTTTGAGGTTTGGCCCAGTGTTTACCTTCTACTTAGCAAAATGCTATTTTCCTGGGGCTTATTCTGGCACCGGAGTGACCCAATGCTTCTTGCTGTCAGAGCAGGATACCAGGACACATGGCTGACTTGGGCTGACAACTCCTGTCTGCTTGTATGACTGACATGTTTATTTATATCACAGTCATGCTAAATGTCCTTAGCATAATCAGAACCAGTTGTTCTAATGAAATGTACTGCTACACAGCCCCTACCCTGAAGTGTTTGCCATCTAAAACACTAAAAAATAGAATTTCTCACTAACACTTTCCATTCTTTCATCACAGCTGCAAAGGCCTAACACAAAACATGTTCCCAAAACAAACAACACAAGCACTAACATAACTTTGGCAAACAAAAGCTGGAAGCAAAACTAGTTTCCTTTATTTAGCTGCATATACTAATGGTATTTAGGAATGGGCTCTTCATTTTTTCAAAGCAGATGCACTGGGCTCTCTCTTTTCATGTATTTCTCTGAAAGTAACCTCATAGAGAACTAAGAACTAAGAAATAAGAACATAAGGCATTGTGAACATTCCTCCCAGGATAAGAAACATTTAGGATTAATTTGTTCCAAAACATCTAAGCGTATTGCCAGAAGTATCTCTTATCTTCCTTCCTGCTGCCATGAAATGCTACACCACAAATACATGAGATAAACTGTACCAATCAAGCAATTGTCTCGGAGAGGTGGACATTTTGTTCTAGACTTGCCAGGATTGAAATACTCATGTGCACAGGCCTATTTCCAAACCTTCAAAGTCTGGATGTGTTTTCTTTCCCCTGCTTCCTCTTTTCGGAGTGAATTGAAATGCATGCTCATTACTAATATTTATTACTAATTTAACCCCTTTATTTAATTAGCAATTTCATAGAGATTAGGAGAAACAGAAAAACATCACATATTTGACATCGTGCTAATTCCAGGTCAAATTTTACTATTTTTGATTTATTGCTACTGACTGGCAAAATTTTGCACCTAATGAAATGCCTGCATCCTATCCTGGAAATGAGGGGCTTCCATGTCTGAATGGGCCAAAGTTTTCAGTTGCTTTCTGAAGGCAGGAAGAATACTTTATGTACTGATGGGACAGTAATCAGGCATTGTATGAAAAAGAAGTACTATGTGATTTATGAGTACATTCTCTGTTCCACTGGTGTAGCTTCAGGGTCATTCCAAATAATAAAAGAATCAAAGAGAGGCAGATGGGCAGAGCCTGCCCAGAAGGAGTGATTTATACTCACAAAGCACTATGACTACTATTACTACTACTCATGGAGCTCCAAAACTTTTCCCTCTAGGAACTACTGAGGCAATTCTTGCTGAGGGAGCAGAGGTGGAATCATCAAGCCCTTGTATTACTCAGATTCCTCAGACCTCCGATATGTCTGGATTCATGTTTACATTAAAGGAACATATAGAATATCACTTATTTTCCTAAATCTAAAAAGAGTACACTGATTGAAAACATGTCACTGCCTCTGTGATTCCTGATTTTGAGGTATTTGCAGAACCACTATTTCCTATGGAGCTAGCAAGAGCTAAGAATTTGGCCCAATGTTTTAAAAACAAATTATTATATTTTATCCATGGAAATGGAATAGAAAAGTATTGTTTTTCCACTGGTTTCAGTACACGTCTTTGCCTACCTTTTCTTCTTCCAGTAGAATTTGAACACTGTCAATTCAGTAACTGGTGGAACTAGGAGACCAGATTGTCCACAGACAAAGTTAAAATGCACAATATTCTATTATGACCTTACAGTTCAGTGTTTTGTGCTCTTTCTTGTCCTTACTAAAGAGCATCACATATTAAAATGTCAGATGTAGGAAAGAATTTGGAGTGTATTGTCATAGTTTGTTTTATTAACGTCAATTTCGTATGTACCTTAAAGGAAATACAAAAGAAACATATGCAGGATGGAAAATTGTATTACATTTTTATACCACAATATATAAATTTTCAGAGATGGCAGTAAACCACAAAGTTTGGTCTGGAGTTTTTTTCATATCCTTTCTCAGGAATCTGTTAATATTTATCACACATACCGTGTTTACCTCAGGCAAACCTTTTTCCTGAAGTAGATGGAAATAATATTTGCTAGAAATATTTTGCAGGTAAAATTTGCATATATTACAGAGTGGAAACGATGTCAAATGACTTGTCCATGTCCTATTGCAGGCTACTAACTGGGCAGGAATACCTTTTCAGATGCCTGGCTGAGTACTCAGACTTCATGTTTGCACTGGGTCATTCTATTTCCACTTGTTGGGAAGGGTTTGCTAGTACAGAAGACTTCCTACCTGAAATGTAACTCCTAAGATATCGTCAGCAGAATTATCATTCTTTCTTATACACCTTAAGATGTCACATTGGGTCAATGTGATGCTTCTGGATGAGACTGTGGGGTGATAATCCTAGTGAAATAGTCGTAGTCTGGTATGAGCACATGAATTCTTACCACTTAAATGGTGAAAGTGTAGGGCAGTTTCACCTTCCAGTAGCTGGCAGCCTTGCAAGCTGTCCAGGCAACTTTTGTATCTCAATATGTTCTCACTATATTTTAAAATGTTGTTGCCTTGTCAAGTCTGTTGGCTGCTTGTCTGAATCCAAAAACACACTACATTAATTTTTTGACACCGACTTGGAAATTTGTGTCGTGCAAGACCTCCACTGATTATTTCTTACGGTCTGATATGTATGAGTAGGTTGAATTCTCCCAATTAATAAAGCAAAAAAGTTCATGCACTTACTTGCTACTCAGGCAGCGTCTCAGTGAATATGAAGCCCCTCCTCCACAAGTGCGTGAACATTCACTCCACGAGCCCCAGGCATCCCACAGTGAGTCTCGGTCTTCCTCTGAGCGAGCTGTTCTGGAGCTCTGAGGAGAAAAAGAAGGAAAAAAGTCAGGAAAAGTCATTTAAGGGACAGAAAAATATTCTTGCTAGTCTGGCCTTTCTTATTATTGGATATCAACTTGGTCATTGAAAGCACTGAATAAATTTGTTAATTCACAGAATCACAGAATGTTAGGGGTTGGAAGCGTCCTCAAAAGATCATCTAGTCCAATTCTCTGATGTGCTACTGATTGGTAGCTAGTTATTGTCATGGGGGGTTGCTGTATCCTTTCATCCTCTGAGTACCAGTCTATCTAAATTTGCAATTGGTGATGACTATTATAAAAGAGCACTTTGGACAACAGTGAGGCAAGGGATTTCTCCTGGTTAAAAGGAAAAGAGGGAGTCTTGTGAATGTTAGAAATTGTGCCTGGAAATTTTGTTGCTATATTAGAAACTAAGAAAGAACATCTTAAAAAGTGCATTTCAAAATGCTCTTGAGGAAAAAAAGAATCACAATATAGAATTATAGAATGGCCTAGGCTGGAAGGGACCTATCATTTAATCCAACCTCCCTGTCATGGGCCGGTATGCCACCTCTCTATTAGACCAGGCAACACATGGGGACCGAGCAGGAATCGAACCTGTGACCTCGGTATTGTCATCAGCACCGCACTCAACCCACTGAGCTAACTGGCCCCAAAATCAATGTGATGCGAAGACATTCAATGTAATGACTTTCCTGCACTAGCCATAAGAAACTGTAACTATCATTACTGCTTTTCCATCCAAAGATAAAACTTTCTGGAAAAATATTCTCTAACTATTATAACCCTACTATTCAATAACTTACAAAAGAAAGTGCACATTACCCGAAGCACTAGAGTTCTCCAATGTCAGGCACAGACCCAGGCTGTGGTATTGTTAATGCCAGTGGTTGGGCACAAACAATTTCAGGGAGAAGCGGCACCAATGAGTTCAGAAATGCTCAGCTCTTCTAAGATTAACTCATAAATGTACAGCAGTACCTGACTCAAATAATGCAGTCATGCATGTACACAGCATTTCATTTTCATTCATGCACATGCACCTCAGAAACATAGATCTGTAGGGACACAAAAGATTTCACCATTTAGATAGATATTGTCGCTCATGGTTGATGTGGTTCTGATGGAAGAAACTTAATAATCTACAGAAGCATGCAAAGGTGCATGGAAAATGTCTGTGTCTGATTGAGACCAGACAGTGCTCTCCTTCAAAGTTTGGCTTGTGCTGTGGGCCAGCACCTGGTGAATAACTTTTCTAACTGTATTTGGCATAAACCAGAAGGTAAAACAACTGTATGAGGAAGACTTCAGTGGTACAACTTCAAAAAAGAAACATCAGCAAGCATCATCACTAGCCCCTGTTAGAGGAATCAACTTTGATTTCAACACCGAGGGATTATTTGAGACACAGAGACAGTCCAGCACTGAAATAATTTTATCTTCAGTGAAGCTGTGTACGAGTTTTGTGATGATATCTGAAACCAGGTAAAATATACCAGTCTTAAATATTGTTATTCACAGGCAAAAAGGAAAATGTTAATTTAGCTCTGTGAACTGTTTCAATCCACATCCGCTTAAGAGAGATACTGAATTTGTCATGAATAACCAAGATCCTAAATTGAACAGTCTGTGACTGTAGAGCGAAGGACTAAGTATGGCACATTAGGATATCAAATGTAAGTTACTTAGGATTTATCGAGGTAAGAGGGTAACTATACAGCATATTTTAAGAAGCCAGGAATGCATTATACATGCTAACTGTTAAGAGAATTTACCAATATGGAAACAATTTAGTTCTAAAAAATTCTGCAGGGGGACTGCACTTCACCCACTGGTGTTGTCTTTGATGCTGAATAAACAGGCGGGCTCAAAATTATCTGAAAGGAAAGCCCATATGTTTTATAAGCTGTCTCTATACTCAGCTCAGCAATAAGGCCAAAGTCTTGCACTGTGCTCTGTTGCCCTGAAAGGGAAATATCTGTAGTCTCAGTGTCATACACGTTTGCATGCTCTGACAGCGATTAGCTCCATGCACCTGAAGGATGAAAACATTGCCAAGTATTGTTCCCATGGTCTCACAGGACTCTTCCTGCCCTGAAGTGAGTCATTAGCTCATGGATCAGCATTTAGCTTACTCAGGTTGACAGAATAATTGTATTGTTATATTCATTCCAAAAGCTTGATATTACTCTGAGATACACTGGCACAAAAAATAATGGTAACTAAACGACAACTGATTAGGTTAAACCTACTTAAGTGAGCTCAGTCTGTAGGTCAAACTGGCAAATTTCTACTGAGATATTATTTAAAAGGAAAAAAAATTATTCGCAGGACACCTATCCAGGCATTTTCTCACCTTTATCCCTCTTCCCATTATTGCTTTTATCAAGATCCAGGCCATCTTGGAGACTGAGTCAGTCGGTTTGGGCAGAATAGATTAAAAAAGAAAGGATTTTCCTCTCTGCAAACAGACTGATATGGTTATTTCATCTCAGTGAGTGGCAAATATTGGGTGCAGGACCAGGGCACAGCAACACACCAGACTGTCCACCTAGCCACGGCTTCCAGGCATTTCACCCTTCAAGGGCACCAGTGCTTCTTTTGTTAAACCAGAAGCAAATACACAAATGCCACTTAAATAGAGTTCAGTCTTTGTGGCCTTCCAACACAAAGAAGGACAACCCTCTTGAAAGGGTTAGTCCAAAGCATGGTCCAAAACATGCTGACATCATATGAAAACTCCAACAAATTTCAGGTTTCAGGTGCAGAACATTAAAAGATACGCTGAAAACACTACTTACAAGGTTTGTTTTGGATCAGTTAAATAAATCTTGTAAATGAAAAGGAAGCTAAACCAAGCAGGCTGAAGGCAAGCTTTCTTCAAATAGCTCTGCTGAAGCACCTCCACTCTAAACCTGCTGCCCTGTCTTAGCACTGTTGCCAAGTAGAAGTTGCCATCTATGCCAAATAAAATGATTATTCTATGGAGTGGCCAGCCTTCATTTTCAATTTGCTTCATGGTGCAGAGTTTGTACAAAATGTACACATTTTAAACACATGTAGGACCTCCTTCTGCAAAACAGCTTTTGGAAGGTAGCTTAGATGAGCAATTGAATCATTTTTTAGTTGAAGCAACATTTAGTATGATGTAATTTTGTTTTGGATCTACTGATGGAAAAAAAGAGGCAAATTAAATTAGTTTGTGAGAAATGATAGTGGGCTTGCCTAATGAGTGTATAACAGTTATTTGACATTCTCAATTTTTCTTACCTTTAATAACAAACAAAAGTATTTAATTTCACCACAATAATTGCAAGAGTAAATGTAAAAAAGCAACACAAAAGTGATCAAATTCAGGCTATGGCCAAATGTGATCCATCTTCTAGCTACAATCTCATTAACATTTGCATGTGATATAAGAGGAGGGACAGACAAACTTACTGAGGTTATTTCAGTGGACTGATTTCTGAATTTTTTTTTAATAAAAAGAAAAGGTGCATTCGCCCTTTTAGTTTGCTAAAAGGAATATATATGTCTGTGCTTTTTATCTACAAGGAAAGAAATATCTTAATACTACAATGAGTGCCGTGCTGCTCATTCACCAAAGACATAATTAAAAAGATGTGCAAGGTAAAGTCACATGAACCAAGTACTCTTACCTCATCAAAAATTATAAGCATCAGCACAGCTAGACATTCTAAGGGTCCAAATTTTTCTAAAATAAATTGTACTCCCACCCAGAGGAGAGCCATGTGCTTGTTATTTGCATTCCAAGATTTGTTATAAGAGTTATATATTCCCAGAAAACGTGATCTCAAGCTGGAACAGGCTGCAAGTTTTCCTTTAACAAGTGGAATAAACATAATTCATTTCAACTCCATCCATGTTTAATGTTAAAGAAAGTACAGTGATTTTCCCTCCTGTAAATTATACAGTTAAGACTGAGCTTGAAATTCTAGCAACGCGTAAAAAGCCATTTTAAGTCTAAAGAATTGTCTATCGCAGCTCTTTATCAGCTTCAGAGGGTATACACCGTTTCTAGATAAGAATTCACCATTTAGCACAGACTTTTCAAAAGCAGCTTGTAACACTAATTTATAATATCTACCCACTTTCAACAAAGTGAACTAGACTGAAGAACCTATGTTAAAATACTCTTGACAACAGTCCGTAATATTGCAGTGTTCTACAATATAAGAATTCCTTCAGAACTTCTTTAAAGCCCTAAATTTCCTGCCATAAAGAGTAAACAGGAAAAAAAAAAAAAGGAGAAAAAAAACAGGGGACACACACACATGCTTTTAGAGCTACAAGGAATAAAGCTGCTACCACTTAAAACTTCCTTTAAGTAACCCTTCCTCTGAGAAAGTCTTTTCATAACTCTGTCAGAAGTACTCTGGGTTGGTGCTTCTTAAAATGCCAGTGTTTGCCAAGAAAGCAAAATTCGGTCATCAAGGCTCATTATGCCCTGCTGCTGGTATCAGAAGAGCTTCCTTCCAGGTTCTGTCCATTCTAGGGTGACCTCAGCCTGAGCTTCCAAGGAAACATCCACTGCTTTGTCCTCACAAAGCTCACGATGTCTGACATTTACAGCATCAATTGCAGAAATCTGCCAAGAAATTTCCTTATCAAAGACCTACATAAAACAAATAAGTCTGCTAGTACTAATCAAAATCAGCTCTTTGTTTATCCCTCATTATCCTAATGTACACTTAAAGTACACTTACCCTAATGACACTTAATCTAAGGGTGATCCTGCAGCTACAACCCAACACAGAAACTCCGGAGGAAATAGGCATGAGGACTCCCAAAGAATCCTCTAATTAGAAAGAGAAGGAATGCCTCATGCTTTTGGACAAGTGATCAAGAAAGTTCATGCGTACAAAATGTAAACCGGCACTAAGGTGCAGATGCTTACTGAAGAAAAATGAAAGGCTTTGAACTATTAGCTGAACAAAGGACTTCTTATAAACAAAAATAATCTGTCAATCAAGTAG